AATCATCAAGAAAGAAGTTATCTCCAACTTTGATGAGCCTATCCCCTACCACTCTATAAGGATGCTTGATTGTCGTGTCAGCTAGCTTTAGGATTATTGATATTGCTTTTGAATCATCCAATCTTAATTTCCTATAGATAGATAGTAGTATCAGATTAATACTTGCCCAAGAATCAATTAAGGCATTTAAATTATGTGAATTTCCTATAGATTTCCTATAGAGCAAGGTATGGTGAAACTCCCTATATCTTTTAGTTTAGAAGGGAACATATACTTAATGATTGCACTGCACTCTTCTGTCAGAGCTACTGTTTCAACTATTGTCAATTTTTTCTTCTTGGTCAGCATTTCCTTAAACAACTTAGCATAATTTGGAATTTTTAGAATGACGTCAAGGAAAGGAATGTTGATGTGACGTTGTTTGAGGGCATTCACCAACTTCCTGAATTGTTCGTCCAACTTATTGTTCTGCAACTTTTGAGGGAATGGGACTGGAGGTGTGTTTTTATCGGCGAGAATGATTGTATTAACCTATGGACTGTCTGACTATTATTCTTGATTAATCTTTGATGATTTTCTAACTGAACCACTTGTTCTTTGCCTGTGGTAAGTACTTGATTCTCCTCTGTCCCTTTCTTTTTCACAGTAATTTCTAGCAACTAAACTCCACTTTTTGTTGTAATGGCCTGGACTTGTTCCTCTTTTGGCTACCGTTGAAGTCTTTGAGGGAATGGAATAGGCAGCACATATGCTCGAACAGGGGTTGTATGCTTAATTTCTGGTGTCTTAATAATTGCATAATTCAGAGCTATGTAATGGCCTGGACTTGTTCCTCTTTTGGCTTCCGTTGAAGTTTTTGAGGGAATGAAATATGTGACACTTACGCTCGAGCAGAGGCTGTATGCTTAGTTTCTGGTGTCTCAATAATTGCATAATTCATCGCTTCCAATGTCAATACACGTTCCCGTGTCTATTCTGTGTAGCTTGGCAAAATACCCTGTATTTTGTTGGCTAATGCACTTGCTATATATCCCACATGAGTTTCCAAAATTTTAATTACTGCCTGTTGGTTTTGAAGAATAGCCTATTGGTTCTGAAAATTAGTCCTTTTGATAATGAACTTAGATACTAATTCTTCCAACGATGACTTCTTCTCTTATTGTTGTTGAAATCCTGGTGGGTTGCCCTGAATCTGACATCCTTAACATTGATTATTAACCCATAAGAAGTTAGAATGCTTATTCCAACCTAGATTATAGGTGTTAGAATAAGGATTGTTCTGCTGCCTTTGTGGGTTTTGTGTATAACTAACTCCTGAGTCTGATGCGCATGCGTGGAAGCTAATGGACAACTTGTAGTTCTATTATCTGCCCCCACAGCCCCATGAGACTGGTACTGGTCGGTGCATCATGCTCACATTTTGAGTGAGGTTGTCTAAATTCTTTGTTAGTACTTACTTCTAAGATGTCAATAATGTGACTGGTAAATGTTGTGAATACCTGCTATTTTTCTCGAAGTTTCCTTTCTCTTGGCCACATAGTCTGATTTTCTGCAATTTTCTCAAAGATATCTAAAGTATTATCTAAGGGAATATTCATAATTGATCCTCCTACTTAAGTGTCGATCATGTTACGGCATTCAGGATGCAAACCTGAATAAAAGATGTAAATCTTAGCATTTTTAGGAATGTCTAGATTGAAGCACATTCTAAAGTAATTCTTGAATCTTCAACATACCTTTGGATAGCTCTCGATATCCTTTTGTTTGAATGTTGTGGCTTCATTTCTAATTTGATGGACTCGAGAATGTGGAAATAATTTCAAGGTCAATTTTTATATCATGTCATTCAACGAAATGATGCTCCCAAGAAGTAGTGAGTTTAGTCATTTTCTTGCGCTTTCCTTTAAAGTATGAGGGAATATGTGTAGTGAAAAAAGTCAACTGACATGCCTTCATAATTGATTACATCGCAAAGTATCAGGAAAACTTGTATAACTTCATGAGGATTTTCAGTTGGTTTTCTTGAGAACCTGATATCCTGATGATTCTGAAACAAGTTGATGCATCTAGTCAAATGTGGGAGTTGGTCTACCCAAAAGTTGGACAAATAATAGTCTATTACACATGAGCAAGTATGAGATTTAAATAATCCCTAAGAACTTCTTTTGGTGTATCTGGTTGTTCTAGTGCATCTGGTGGTAATTAAACTTAATTTTGATTTTATGCCATGTCTTTTACTTCTCTTTGTTCTTTTCTTCATTGTTTGAAGGTTCTTTCGATCTCAGAATCCAATGGTAGGAACTCGATTTCTTTATAATTTTGCATAAACTGCCAAAAAAATAAACAAAAGAGATTAGATGTGTAAATAATAGCCTAAAACAAAATAAAAGAAAATTTTGAATACTATATAACTAATAAGCTCAAATTAAATACTTAATTTCCCGACTATTGCGTCAAAAACTTGTTCGTGTAAACCCGCTAGCGTATGAGATCGTTGACAAGTAATAGATTTGATGAGTTAAGAGTATCGTCCAATAGGAAATAAATTCAATTCAAGTTTACTAGTTTTGTATAGAATTCGAATTATGTAAATAAAAGAAAGTTTGATTTTGTACTTAGTCTAAATTAATCTAATAAAGCTGTAAAATTAGGATTTGTATCAAATTATGGATTATTGTATTAGATTTCGAATTCGTCTATTTCTATCTATTTCAATTCTTGATTTGTAATTTAGTTTCGTTCATACTTCCTTAACGAGATCGATAAAGCTATGATATGTAACTTTCTTTTCCAAGATAAATTAATTATATCCCAACCATGACCTGAATCTATTCCTAACTCGAATTCTAATAATTAGAATGTATTAAATTTTAGATTATATATATGATTGTACACCTGATAAATGTTATTCATAACATCTATTACACATATGTTAATTTTGTCGCATTCTAAACTTATGGTGAGTCTTCCAACACTATAACAAATAACTAATTATTTAATTGGTATCCAATCAATTAAATAATGCAATGAGTATGCAAAGTAAATCAAGAAACGCAAGAAATACATTAAATTACTAGTCTTGAATCCAAACAAATAAAACAATATAGTTCATCTTCATCCAATACAAAAAAGACCTAGCCAGCATATTAATATGTAAATTACAATAAGAATAATAGAAAAATATCACCCGGATCATGATAATGCAAAAGATATTGATTTTCAATTTCAAGGTTGAATTCTTCAAAATCTTGATGTAATTGACTTCAAATGCTTACTAGGGTTTGATCTTCTCTCTCAAAATATTACAATTAGCCCCTTGTTTTTGATAAATTTGATGATATTATCATATATGAAGAGACAATAGAGGGTTTTTTTAATGTGTAACCCTCGTTCTTTATTTTAAGAGCTAGAAAATAGGTCAAAATCACGTCCAATTTGGGTTCCAAAAGAGTTTAAATCGTGAAAGGAGACTTCTGATTCATCTGTGAAAAAAGCCCACACGCATGCACAAGTATACTCACCGCGCGCGTGCCGTTGAGTAGTTTTGTTCTCAGTAATTAAACTTTCAGTCGCAAGTGCCAAAAATGGTCCATGTGCACGTACAGGTTTGAAGAGTTCACCCTTTAGTAGTTTTCGGTATTTTGGTCATAACTTTCTCTTCCGATATTTGATTTAGGTGATTCAAAATGAGATGAAAAGATAACTAAAAGGGATACAATTATTTTAGAAATACAAATTTTCCAATTCAAACGTTTACTATCCGAAAAATAGATCTCAAGCTACATAACTTCTTTAGTTGGAAATTGATTTGTAAAAATATTTCAACTATATTTCACTCATTTTACTTCCAATTGCATCAAATTGATCATATGTGATCTTCAATCATCATTCTATGGTTCGAATCAACTATTGAATATTTACACTTTGATCTCCAAACTTTAGATTCCTTTCATTTTGCCCTTTTTCGTTCCTTTCTTCAAATTCTACTAATTTGCTTTGAGTTCAACCCAACAAACATAATTAATACATAATTCAGCTATAACACATTCAAATCACTAACAAATACTCCAGTTTAATGGTTTGGATGAGTATACAAGATACACTTATCAGTAAGACAACATACCCACCAATGCCAACGAGTTTATGCAACATAAATTCCTTAATAATAAGATTCAATTTCGATAGCATTTACTACACTTCGCTCATCTCTATTAAAACCCCTATCTCATCATCATCACCATCCACTGTTATTGATGTTGTCTAGCAGATTGAGCGAAAGCTAAAGGATCATGTTTAGAAAAACAAAGAATAGAATGTGTAGAAAAAAGGAGAGAAGTCAATAGCACAAAAAAGAAATGGCACGAAGAGAAAATTAGTTGCTGGAGCAACGAGTGGTGTCTAGATAGAAGGTGAGGTTTATAGGGTTGGGGGCTACAGTACAAGGGTGACAAAGAGGGTTGGGGTTGAATATTCAATATTCGGAAGACAAATAACAATTTAACAATTGCTAACATTTTTTTCTCATGAATTCATTAAAAAATGAAAGATTGGGACAAACGTGCAAAAAGTTAAAGATCGAGGACAAGAACGAGGACGGTCTATATACATGTAATAAAATCTTCATAAGGCATCATTATTCATTTATGAAAAAGAAATATTGTAACATGAAGTTATTATTAATGTACTCATCTTCATGAAGACATAAAATGCACTTTCATCGTAAGTTAGAATGTTATACTACTGTAGTGACACACCAATGCCTGCGGGTTTAAGCAACATAAATACCTCGACAACATTTCCTACAATTCGCTCATTTCTAACTAACCCCTTCTTTTTCATCTTCACCATCCATCCATCGATAGATATTAACATTGTTGCTAGTACATTAAGCAACAAACAGACATATCATGTGCTACGATAAATAAAGAACAGAATAAATAGAACAAATCAAACCGCACCTCGTAAGAGTAGCGTGGAGGAGAAGGTATGCATCGTAAAAAATGGAGGCGGGGATTAGGAGTCGGCTACAACACAAGGGATGCGGAAAGTGGTGGGGTCAGCTATTCACAAGAAAGATGACTATTTAACACTTGCTAAACAATTTTTTTCGCGAATGCATCAAAAAACGAAAGTTTGAGATAGACGCGTAAAAGCGATAAAGATTGAGGACCGCGGTAGCAATTTGCTTGAAATAAAATAAAATCTTCATACTATTCATTTATGGAAACAAACATAAATACTGTAACATACAGCTGTCTGTAACGGATGAATCTAAAAATCTAATAAAATAAATGGAATGAATGAATGAATGAATTACATATTACTTTTATAACGTATTTATCATCACTTTTGTATATATGTATATACGCGTTTGTATATATAGAGAGAGGGGAGAGATGGGTCCTTAAAAGATTATGCCCACAACCCAAACTGAAACCTCAGCTCAAAGCTATAGCTTCCATTTGCAGAGAGAATCCGAAGGATTTCTCATAACGAAACAAGAAAAGAAACACACAGTTATATCTTCTATATGTGCATATAGAGAGAGATGATTATTCCATTCATATAATTCCAATCAAGTCCTCCTTTTCTTTCTTTTTATCCAATATGTAAGTCCTCTGCAATATTGTGATTACTCTTTATTGTTCTTCTTTTCATTTCCTGTTTTATTCATTAGCTGTGATTGTGTTTGTTTAAACACAATTAGTAGATATATTGTCAATAATTTAATAATGTTATGGGAAGAACAATGCAAGTTTAAAGCTTTGATTTTGATTTGTTGTATACAAATAATTTCGATTAGTGCATGTTATTTTGATCTGAATTTAGAGATCTTGCAAAAGTTTGCTGCTTTTTTTTGGATTTATGCATGTTTAATTTGATCAAAAGTCTTGTTTTTCTGGTGATTTGAGGTAATTTTGCATTTGGGCTGCTCTAATTATTGATGAATTTTATTGTTTGAGAAGGGTTTTTGACCACTTAATCAGGCTTTTATTGTAGTATTGGGGTTCATTAATTCCTATTTGGTCCGAATCATACGATTAGTAAATAGTGTTCACTATGTATTGTTGAGCGTTTTTTATGTGAATTTTCTTAGTAAAAAAATCGATATTTTAGTTTTCTTTGATCATGGAACATTCACTCTGAAAATGGTGATGATGAATAAAGCTGAATAATAGATAGATTAATTTTTTATTTCTTCACTTTAATAAATAGATAGATTGTTTTATATGCATCTAATGATTTGATTTCTGCACTTTGAAAGAATTTTTATTTTTATTTTTCCCTGGATTTTTGGGTTGTCGATTAATGATTCATAGCAGTGGATTGCAGTCAGCTGTGGAAGAAAGAAGCACTTTGATTGGTTCAAGGCCAAGACAGAGGGTTGAATCCAAAGATATGTTGGAAGATCGGCCTAGTTTGGTTTCAAGGGACTATCTAATTAGAACCTGTGAGCAAGAAAGCAACTGGCCTTGCATGAGTTATAGAGTGGAAAAAATTGATGTTCATTGTGGCAAGCGACCATTAGAAAGCAATGGAGAGGAAGAAGGTGCTAGAAAGACATCTACTCGCTCCAGCGATCATTTGGATACAGCTCTATCAATTGGTGGGATTCTAATGCTAACTTCTAACCAATCTGGTAATCAGCGGCATGCAGGGGATAATTCTGATACCAGTTCCCTAATTCCTGCTATTGGTCACGACAACTCTGTTAATTGTCTCAGTCGGTGCTCGAGATCTGATTACGGTGATTATGCATCTTTGAATCGAAGCTTTCGCTCGCTTATTAGAAGTGCTGAGCTATATAAAACTAGGCGTAAAAATGGTGTGGTTGAGCACTGGGTTTATTTTTCTTGCCAGCCGCTTGAATGGGAAGCCTTTGACCTGAGTCGTCGTCGTTGGATGCGTATACCAAGAATGGATCCCAATGAATGTTTTGGTTTTTCTGATAAGGAATCTTTGGCTGTCGGCACCGAGCTTCTTGTTTTTGGGAGGGATCTTATGTCTCATATCATTTATCAATACAGTTTGTTAACAAACTCTTGGTCATCTGGCATGAGCATGATTGCACCTAGGTGTTTGTTTGGTTCCGCCAGCCTTGGTGAGATCGCAATATTAGCTGGTGGTTGCGATGCACGTGGTAATATCTTCAGTTCTGCAGAGCTCTACGATTCCGAAATGGGAACTTGGAAGACACTCCGAAGTATGAATAAACCAAGGAAGATGTGTTCAGCAGTATTCATGGACGGGAAATTTTATGTAATCGGAGGAGTTGGAGGAAATGATTCAAGAGTTCTTACATGTGGAGAGGAATATAATTTGGACACCGAAACATGGACTGAAATTCCCAACATGTCCCCTGTGCAACCTGGTGCAGCAGGGGAATTTGATGCACAGGCTACATCTGTAGCACCACCTTTGATTGCAGTTGTAAATAATGAATTGTATGCGGCTGATTGTGCTGACATGGAGGTGAGAAAATATAACAAGGAGAATAGAGTGTGGGTTACCATAGGGAGATTGCCAGAACGAGCAGCTTCTATGAACGGTTGGGGTTTGGCATTTAGGGCATGTGGAGATAGGCTTATTGTAATTGGGGGACCTCAGACAGTTGGTGGAGGATATATTGAAGTAAATTCATGGGTTCCAAGCGAAGGTCTGCCACAATGGGATTTGCTTGGCCGAAAGCAATCTGGTAGTTTTGTTTATAACTGCGCGGTGATGGGATGCTGAAATTTGCACGCTGGTGGTACCATGTGCACTTAATGGTTTGCCTTGTGCTGATGATACAAAGTTGCTTCCTTTAGGCTCAGTATTCTTGCTCATGGGTAATTTATCCCAACTTTCTATTTCATTTTTTCCGTTCTTGAGTGTGAGGAGGATAGGAAGGATCATCAAATTTTACTCAAGATTCAATTGATAGTCTTGAGTGCATTCTTTAAAGTCAAACTAATATTTTCTTTTTGAATCGTTACCTCCTGTTCATGCTACATTAGAATTTTCAAAGTTGGGCATCACAAAGGAAAGAGAGATTTCCAATAATATCAAGTAGGAATTTGTTGGTAGGTTTAAGTTAGCGTTTTGTGAAGCTTTCCTTATAGCTGAAGAATTTACTTTTTTTTGGGTACGGATCCTTGACTTCTTGAAATTGTCTTGAAGAAAGAAAATAATATCTTAAACATGTTTACTTCGAACATGGCACATGTAATGAATACAATTAGCATTGCACTTGATGGTGCTATAAATTGATTCTTTCCCTCTGGTAAACCTTCGTAGTTTTATAGACGTTTTTGTATGATATTATTATTTGTTTCTTTCTTATTATAGCATTTGATACTTTCATTGCTTAACATGAATTGACTTTCTGATTGATTTCATTTATTTATATTTTGAGTTTCAAGTAATTTAAGTTTTACTTCGTCATTTGTATTTTGAGGGTCGAGATAGAAACCATTCTAAATTATGAATATCTAGATGACAATAAAATAAGCTTCTTTAACATGCAGGGGCACTTATAATCTGTCGACTTGAAGTTTTGCTAGAACTCGTCTCGTTTTTTATGGGACAGTTTCATCTAACCTAACATCAAACTTGGTAGAGTTGCCTTGCAATTTCATCAGACACAAAAATCTGCAAATCAACCATTTAAGACCATCGAGGCTCGGGCAATTGTTTACGTATTCCTCTATTTGCATTTTAGTTCCCCAGCATGTTTCTTTATAGTTAAATATATCAAGAATGTGGACGATGATTTTACCCTTGCCTTTTCTATTTCCTCAAAAATATCATACCCAATCGTCAGAATATTTCAAACATCCTATTTGAGGACTCGTGCTGAGAATATTTATTCATTTTTTGCTATATATTCCATGAATTTAGTTTATTTTTCTCCATAAGTTTTCCCCTCAGGGCCACTGAGGTGAGTATCCGGCCGTAACCTCCAGGGCCCCGTGGAATTAGTCGAGGTGCGCGCAAGCTGGCCCGGACATCCACGGTTATCAAAAATAAAAAAAATTTATCTCCATAAGTTTGTACTTGGCTAAAATTTCCTTTCTTCTGGTAATATTGGTTCTTTCTTTGCTTTCCTTTTTGCTTCTACAGTTTATGTGTCGGTTGTTTCCCTTGCTATTGTGGAAAATCACGTGAGAAATAATTATTGTCCTTCACGTATACTTTACTTTACAGATGAAAATTTGTGTATATCTAACTATACGGACATGAAACATATTTACATAAATGTATCTGTATTGCTTTGTTAGACAGGATTTGCCAATGATGTTAACTATTTTTTACTCTGTGCATTTGCGCTCGAGTTATAGGCGCTATCTACTATGTAGATAAGGTGAATCTTTGTTCACCGGACATGTTTTCGCCTATTATAAATAAGCTTTTAAGCATAGGAAGAGGATTTTGGAATGAAGAAGTCTGTCTATTCTCGTACTTGTTTGATTCTATATTCTCATGATCTCATCCGTGGGTTGGTTGATGCATTTCACTTTGTTAAAGGATCTGGACCTGGTCGACCATCGACCCTACAGAAACCCTATAAAATATACAAGCTGAGTAATATATTGTTCGTGTCTCTTTTAGTTTTTTTTTTTTGGTATGGAATCTACGAATTCGTTTACAGGGGGTCATTTGACAGTGTAGTCATGTTTGGTTCATTATCACTTTCAGTCGAGGTTGAAAGAGCAGCATTGGATAAGTCGATGTTAAGTAGCTCGAACTTTTTATAGTTTTCAAATTGATTGAAATCTTCCTCCTGGATAACTTGTAATTTGTATGGTACAATATTAACATTATAGTAGTTACAAACTTAGCAAATTTCGTCATGTTAAATACTTCTTTTGTGTACTTGAGCCCATCTAAGGGCATGCATTGGAGTATTGGGAAAAAGATACACTTACAGAACTATTCACTTACAGAATAGTTACAGAAATAAAAATTTCCAAAAATACCCTTCATACAAAAATTGCAACAAGGAGACACTACAAGAATATAAAAACTCCAAATTAGTCCCTAAAAATTAGTTGTCTGTAAGGGTAGCATGATCCGGAGTATTGAGGGTATATTTGGTTCCATAAATTATACATTATTAGATGGTATTAAAAAAAGGAAAAAGTATTTGTTAGTTGTCGTGTTTAGTTTGTAAACACGTTTTTATGCATAATTAGTTTGAACATTTTCAAAATAATCTCGAATTTTTTGACATTATTGAATGGGTTAATTGTCGCAAAACGTCTATATGGTTTGTTTTCATTCAAATTAGGGTTAGATAAAACTCTCGAATCGAATCGAACCAAGTTGTTTTTCTTAAGTTCAATACTCGAACGAGTATTTGAATCGAAAATCGACAGATTTCGTTTTGTTTTCGATTCTAAACGAAGAACCGAATTCCCCTAATTTTTTTATATTAAATAAGCTAAATTTTTTTAAATTTTTTTCTAAATAAATTTGCAAACTAATCAATTGAGCTAAAAAAATCTCATTTTTCTATTTCATTTGCCAACTAATTAATTTAGTGCAAGCCAAAATACGATTTTCTTATTTCTAATTTCCAATTCTTGCCCAATTTAATCAAACTGAATATACTAGTGATGTAGATTTTGACATGTTAAATTGGCGGGAGATCAATAAATCAAGATTTTTAATTATTTATTTTTATTAATTGTGTTTATATACATGAGTGAATGAATTTTATTATAGAATTTGTTATTTGCATAATTTTAAATTGGATTACGTTATTTTGTAAGAATTAAGATTGAACATGTCATTAATTGAATTAATATAATGTTTTTGTAAATATTAAAAAAATTAATTAGGTACAAAACCCGTGAACCAAATGGAATCGAATCGAGCCAAATGGATCCGAACCCGATGGTTCAGTTCCTAATTATATTTGGACCTGGTGATTCCACTTACTAAATACCCAAAAATTCAGGTTTAGTTCTGCTCTATTTAAAATTGAATCAAACTAAACCGGATCAAGTCCATCCCTAATTCAAATAGTTCTAATCATTTTAATTTTGACACTTTGACCCTAAGATTGATCTTCTTTGTGTAAATTATACTCATAGTTCAATTCCGCTATTAAAGTCTTGTAACTGAATGAATTCACCCTTCTTTTTAAATAATAATAATAATATAAAGATAAAGAAACAATTACAGCTATGGTATAAAAGAGGGAAAAAAGATATTAGAGAATAAAAGTCAATAGATTTGTGTATTTTATTGAGAACCAGAGCCCCATATTTATAGAAAACGATTATGAATACAATGGTAATAATTTCTAGGATTGTAGGAACATGATAATTCAAAAAAATAGCTCTTGTTGATCTTTTTAGGAGTTTCATACATATTAGAGTATTATTTTAAGGGTAAATGTATTTTAGGTTATGGACATTTATTACACAAATAATATGCCTCATTAAAACTTTATTATGAAGAATCTTGTCCCGAAAAATCCTAATAAAGGAAAAAGAGTATATTATTCTTTTAATCACACTACAAAAGTTGTCTCGTTAAAACTATGCCAGGAAAACATAATGGGACAAAACCTCGATTAAGAGAAAAAGAGTACAATGCGTATTTACTCCCCCTCATGATAATATTACTTGAATTATATTAATAATCTGCCAATGAGTCAGTTATAATCAAATTTATTATATGCATATCAAATTTCATAATTATCAAACAAATAAAATAGAGACTTGTGATTACATTCACTATGTGATAATTTATCTATTTACACAAGTTTTCGTGAAATTCATTATAATAGTCAAACATTTCATATTATGACTTTACTTTTTCCATTTCCATTTCACATAAATATACACTTTTAAGTGTTCAGATTATAAATCCAAAAACATCAAGTTCCTCTAATAAATTTAATTTTACAAAGATCGTGTCCAAACACTTCAGGTTTCTCTAGTAAATTCAATTTTAGTATGACCACTTCATTCTATTTGGTCAATCATTACTTTGATCGTTATATTTCGATGCGTTTATTTCGATTTCTTTCTATATGATGTAGTACATCATGTGCAAAAGTGTTTTAGACAACTTTTTCTTTTCAATTCTATTTCTATTTATAATGGCATAACTTATTGAGATATCTCAATTTTCATTATTTTAAGTACCTGAACCTCTTCGAGATTTTAAAACTTCTTATGTCTAAATACTCATCAAGAGTGTATGCCTCCTTAATGCCACCATCTTTGCTAATTGCTCCAATTCCTTTTGGAAAATTTTATATTACAATCGAATGTTATCACGCTTCAGGCGTGTCATAAATTTATCAAATATAATATTAATGAATTGTCTTTTCAGGAGTCAACTCGAGTTGGAGTATCTAAAATAGATGTTTTTGATATTGTTAATCTCTTTGGTTAGTAAATGCATCTAAATGAATTATTTTTTGAGCTTCTGGTTCAAATGATCTTTTGCGAAGATTTAGATGATGATGATGCATTTGTATATCATTTTTACTTTCTTAATTCATCCCCCTAATACTGAGAGAATTGTCCAATCAAAATTGACAATTAGCAATCTGCGTTTTTAAATATCACACATTTGATCTAAGGGTACAAACTACACATATCTTCTTAACATTCTTTACTTTTATATCAATGTAATGTGGTGGATTAATTGTTCATATATTGCACTATCAAATAATTAAATGAAACAGAACTATAATATTAGCATGATGCGTAATAACATTCCTGAAACAGAAA